AGAGAGAGAGAGAGAGAGGGAGAGAGAGAGAGAGAGAGAGAGAGAGAGAGAGAGAGAGAGAGAGAGAGAGAGAGAGAGAGAGAGAGAGAGAGAGAGAGAGATATATATACAGAGATCAAGGCCGACCGAGACAGATATGTGTGTAGACGTAGACGTAATTGTAGACCGAGAGAGACTTCCGAACATGAGCATCCATCTGGACATTCTCTAGTTTTTGTGTTCGAGCTTCCCGTTACCACTCCTTGCGGCGAAAGCCCGTCGCCAGACCTGTACGAAAATGTAGCGACTTCAACATCTTCGCACTCTATCTACCGCCTCCGACCCCAACATCCGTTGCTTCAGGTCCGCGTGGCCCCTTCCTTCCATCTCGATAAGTATTTAGTCGCTGTTGCTCCCTCTGTGGCATCCCCGGTAGGTGTCATTTTTCTCCCGCAGTCCCTTGTCTTTTGTCAGACTCGAGTACAACTACACCCGTGCAGTACATTTTGCCACCTCGTTTTTCACCTCTCATTTGCCATTCTCGCTCACGTCCCATCGTCCTTCCCCGCGATGACAACCATGCCCGTCAGGATAATCTGGTACGAACCGGCACGGACGGGTGAGGAGGAGCTTTCCGCGACGAGTTAAATGCGAATATCCCACCGTGCCACCCTCTGGCGGAGTCATTCTGTCCACGGTCTCTGCGATGCATGGTGGCAGCCGCTGCTGTTGAAGTAGAACCTCAAACTATCAAAACCTGCAGCACCGGCTGTGCCTTGTCCCGACGAGGGGCTAAGGGGGGCAGTCGTGCATGCTGAACTTTGGGTTGTGTGTTTTGCCGGAAAAGCTACTCCGCCCGTACGTTTGGAAGCCTAAGTCCCGACCTGGTGCTAGGTGTGCCGTTTAGATATGCTTCAAGCGTGGGACCCACGCGTGTAACGCTGAAGCCATCCGCAGCTATATGGCATTTCTTGTGTAACTTCACATTTCGGTACGTTTCGTGAGGAGGCACGACCCGCATTCCGGATGTTGCTGGCGCAAGCATCAGCAGGTTTTGAAGCCGACGGGTGCGTGGGTGGTGGGTGGTGGAAAGCGAATGTGGAGTGGAACCCAAACTCGAAAGCCTTTCGAATTGCAGGGAGACATCGCGGCCGCTGTGTTGGGCAGCGACAGCGAAAATCAGTATAAGCACGAACGCATGTTGGTGGTGGCAATCGCGGTTACCTGATGTGAACATCCTTATTGTTTTCCCGTTGGAGTCTGGCGCGAGGTTGCCCAACATATGCTTGCGCTTTTCCTGAATCTCAGCTCGTTTCTCTCGCTATGGAGATGGCGGTATTATAGGAAGGCTTAGCACCTAATACTAACATTGTACGAATTCCCCCTCAACTTTGACCAACAGAACTGCGACATGTCAACGTTGCCTTGGACAATTAACTACAGCACCCATTTTCAGCAATATCTTCTGGCAAGACCGTGAATGGCACATGCTGGTCGCCGTTGAGGATGCTTCCCCATTGACCACACGTACTGGTAGGGGGAAGGGGCTCTACAAGATGAATTTGGTGATCCCCCCAGGACAACACGCAGGAGACAAAGTCGAGGAGCTCTGCCCCAAGTTCGTTCTTGTAGATTTCACAATCAATCGTCAATTCATCTACATATCTGCAAGTAGAAGCATCGACAAGCTGATTCAAACACCAGGATCCGCCATTGAAGATCGACCTGCCAGCAAGGCAAACCACAATGCAGGAGCTTTCACCCCGCCTAGATCTACCCTCCTTACTGCTGCGTTTCCAACGCATGGTGGCCTTGGCAAAGGAACAAACAGGTTAATTGTAGTTATCGCCAACAGTCTGGCCCACAAGAACTCTGCAGCGGAAATATTGACGATGAGTCTATGTACGTTTCTTCGCCTCAAGGCTTCTTAATCAAAAAGGATTGGGAGGCGGTTCACTTTCGAGCTAGCTCGCTATCTACCATTTCGAAATCGCGACGTGTTAAACGACATGGGCTACTGATTGACCAAAATCCGCCAAAACCAATAGGTAGAGACTTCAGTGGTGCGGACAAAGACGATGGCAACAATGAGGGGCATTAATTTGAGAGTGACGGAGATGAAGGATCGGGAAAGGAAAAAGGAGAACGAAGACGATGATGGAGGAGGAAAACATGGCGTAGAAGAGAGCAAAGGGCTTGAGCCAGATGCCCTTCCTCTTAACAAACGCCGCAGGACTGGAGAGGACCTGTTCGATAGATGTGGGAATACTCGCAGCGAGGTGGTGGTAGTAAATGCAGGGAGGACGACGAAAGCAACTCAATCCAAAACGCACGCGCATCCAAGTAGTAGCAGCCTAGCAAGCACGTGCAGTTTTCTTCCGTTATTGCTACGGTATCTGTCTTTCATCCGGCGAAGAGTAGCGTAGACTCCCCCATGACGCTCAGCCACAGGGTCCCAGATCGTGGCCTATAGAAGCATTTTGTGTTTTCCACCGTACTGAGACTTACGTATTTTCATTGGTCAGCCGGTTAAGCGCGGTCGATGCAGAAAAAAATGACACGCACGAGAACACTCGTGCACCAAGACTTACGACGGGTCGTAGCCTCCCCCCCCCCTCGACCCTCGACAATAGACGATGACAGGAAACAACGTCGTCGTCGGAACGACATATACAAAGACAAAAAGGGGGGGGGGCATGTGCTATCAGAGCAAAGACTAGCAAAGCACCAGACATCGCGTCGGTGGAACGGCCAACTGTACAGAGTACCCCGAGAGTCTCATAGCGCCGCAAGAGAGGGGCAGCCGTAAAAAAAAACACAAACACACACATAAAAACACACACACAAACATCTACGCTCGAACCAAGGCGAAACTTCTGTTCAAAATGGATGATGGTTCGATCGAGGTTATTCTTTCACAGCACGGAGTTCAACAAGGCTGTAATTCGGGAGGGTTCGGCTTCTGTGTAGGACTCCTTGATATCATGAAAGAGTTCAACAACAAGCCACCAGTGCCAGGAGTCAAACTCATCGGATACGTCGACGACCTCCAAGCGCATCTTCCACCTGGTTTGGCTAGGAACATGCGCAGGCCATATCCACTGTAACGAATTGGATTCAGGAACGTCTCTCCCAAAAAGGGATTGAGCTCAGTCTCCCGAAATCCAAAGTGCTTTTCCTGGAAGGAATAAGACTGCCATAGTGCCACCACGACCACGAACGGACTGGTGTCCGTTTACGCTTTCAACCTCGAGACATTCGACCGGAGTCGATACGTCGTCTTGCGTAATATGGCAGGGAGGAGATTTGTTCGCATAAGAGTCCAGCATGTCCGGGGTAAGACCAGCAGGCAGAACTCTCGGCAGGCCATCGGTGTCATGCGGGCTAGCCCAAGGCTTGTAACGCACAACTGACACACGAAGGTTCCAGTCTTGGCCCGGCAGGTCCGACGGGAGATCCAAGTAGAGCAACTTGGACGCCACAAACGACCATAGGGGCGTCAGAATACAGGCCCACAGCCAAAGCTGTGAACGGGCCAGTCCAGAGAAAAGACAACTTGGCTTAAAGAACCGCGTCACCCGTACCTGGACGAACACCTTGCTTGGCGGATAGTGGATTCGGAGTTGTACACCAAAACCCACCCACCTACGGTAGAAAAGGGAAGCTTACGTAAAGCAACCGAAAGAGCGGAATTTCGCCGCTCGATCCTCGCAACGGTTGTGCTTCTCACACGCCAACTCGTACGAACGGTGTTGGCGATCAGCAGCAAGATCGTATTACTTGAGTTGATCACGATTCAAGCCTTGGTGGTCGCGAGCATAGGGATGCTCAAGGACAGTCATCGGCAAACGCGGCAATTGGTTCATGGGCACCTCGTTGGGCGCTAAACGAGTAGCTGCAAATTAGTGCCCAACCATCTTGTCTCTCGCTGACGACCACCGCTAACGAACATTGGAAGCGTAGAGCGGAGTTGACGCGAATCGTGCAGGCACGAAGCCGCCCGAAGACGCTGGTGCGTGGAATGGGTTAACTTTCTATACCGCGTTATGGAGAGATGACGTCGGAACGTGATCGGCAGAAGACAGCAAACGAGAGCTGCACTCGGGAGGCGGGGCACTTTTTTCGTAAAAGACTGCGTACTCGTTGGAGGGCGCTGCCCAACAAATATTGGCCGCGCCATCGAGATGTAGATCGAGCGTCGGGATCATTGGCCGGAAGGCCAATGCCCCAAATACGGTCAACGGGACTGGTTTCGGCAAGGATTTTGTGACCAGGTTCGAGAAGATTATCTCGTAACTCGGAGGTTTGACTAGATTTCGCGTAAGGGCCAGTGAGCACAATGTTTTTGCGCTCTCGTTCCCAAATAGATTGGTCGAAACCACGGACGTCGCCGCCGAACTTCTTGTGCAAGACAGGGTCGGATACTCGCATGATGTTCTGCAAAGCTCTGTGGTCTTCAAAACGACGAGCTTTCTCCGCAGCAAAAACTGCTCAGCACACAATTAAACAACTCTATCGGCCACAATAGGCGACCGTGTTTATTGGGAAAACTGAGAAGGGGGTTTCCTACAGAAAATCATGTCTGGAATACAATACTCTATAGACGGGTCGAAAGAAGCCAGAGCTGCAGGGGCCGGAGCGGCCTACGTGCCGTCAGCCGAAGCTGGGGTGCAGCCGAAGCTGTGGTGGGCAAAACGCCCATGTTTCCATTGACGGTATGAATACGCGTGGGAAACGTCCCAGCGATGGCGGGGACTGGTGAAGAATCGACCGGGTATGGATTTTCCGCAATAATTGGGCCAGCAACGCGGGGCTGGGAGCGTCCCAATTCTAGACCTGAAACGACGCCTCATGAGGGGTCTTGCAACAGGCCGCTTTTTCGCTGGGAACGAATGCCGACGCCAAGTCGGTTAATGGACTGGACTGCGCGTGGTGCTCCTGGCCATTCCCCCGTGACAAGGTACGCGAGACCGCCGGCTGTTCGGAGGTCACTCTGGAAGCGTCCTCGGAGCGGTGGTGTCGACCCTGTCGGTGGTTTCAACCCTGTCGATGCCGGTCACGGCTGCCCAATATCACGCCCCTTGAGGTGAGCGTACGTCGGAAGAGATGGGGCTTGGAAAGACGACCCATGGTCGAAATGTCGTGTAGCGGAATCTGATTTTGTTCGGTTGTCGAAACCAGCGGGACAAGGCGATTCAAATCCAAGCGACTTTGACCCTAAAAGTTGCCGGTCGGAACCAGTCAAGTTAGCTATCGGCGCTACGGTCGACGACCGACCCTCAACGGAAGCAAGCACAGACAAAGTGAGGGCGTCCGAGGATTCACCCGAAGTAACCAATTCAGGCACTACCTCATCAATCGTCCAAAGCGTATGGCTACGGCCGGTCTTATCTGCAGACGACGGGGGGAGCGAACGAGGGGTACCCGACAAGCGAGCGGCACTCGATGGCCCCGAAGGTCCTACGGTTCGTTCCCGCACCTCAAGACAGCACTCTCATCAGACTGGTTAGGTTCGGACGGAGCATCAGCCCGAAGAGGCTAAGGTGCAGAGGTCGTAGATGATATGTGCTATTGATGACAAGGTTCGGGTGAGAGCATGTGCAACCTGATCGACACTTGGCGAAACAACGTGTACCGGAGTATCGTTGTTGTTGCATAGCACCGGAGTGTTAGAGGCAACGAAGTGTGTAGGGACATATACATGATCCAAATTCCTTCGACGGGTAC